AAAGATGTCATTGCATAGTTTTTTGCTTTGCATAGTTTTTGACAAGACGTTTGTTTAATCTTTGTGCCTCGCCCCTGTCCACTGCCATCAAGATGATCTCTGTATTTTTGGTTTCCAACAGTTTGAATATAATATATGTAGGGTGTGTATTGTGTGTGTATGCACACACATATGTGTGTGCTCGATTTATCCTGCTTGGGATTCTCTGAGCTTCTTGGATCTGTGCTTTGATTTCTTTTGTTAACATTTTGTAAATATAACTATGCTAATTTTGTTATAAATTTCTTTTGTTACAATTTTTGGAAAATTCTTAGTCATTATTTCTTCTAACATTTTCTCTGTCCCATTCATCCTCCTTCTGGGATTCCAATTACACATATGTTAGACCATTTGATATTGCCCTATAGTTCTTGGATGCTTGGTTGTGGGTTTTTTATTTTTCACTCTTTTTTTCTTTGTGTTTCCCTCTCAGTAATTTCTATTGACCTATCCTTGAGTTTATTGATTCTTTCCTCAGCTGTGTTTAGTCTATTGATGAGACTGACAAAAGCATTCTTCATCTCGTTACCATGTTTTTTATTTTTAGCATTCCCTTAACTCTTATAGTGTCCAACTCTCCACTTAAGATTGAGGTTTCAGGTTTCAGAAATAGATTTTTCAGTTATTTTCTCAGAACCTTGGTTTTCTCTTTTACAAAAGACAAATATCAGGAATATATAATAATGACTAACAGAATTGTTTTGGGGAATCAATGTGATCCTTTAGGCTAGACCCTGCCTCTCTCTTCCCTCAGTCTCAATCACTGTCACTCAAGGCTTGCAGGGTATGATTACTTTGACCCTATTTAATTCCTAAATTGTAAGATTCTGTGAAGAGGAAGGGACCTAACATTTATTGACAGCCTGTATTAATCTCATGTAGAATTTGAGAGAGGGATAAAAATCACATTTTAAAAGTGGTTTTGTAGAACATTTTACTTTTGCCGGGTCTATGTGGATTTTAATTGGAAGAAACAGAAAGCATTAAATCCAGTTGCCACTTGGTTAAATCTGTTAAAGAATCATTAAAATTTTTCAACTGTTGGGCTTCTTGACTCACTTGAGGAATGTCATGGCTCATAAAACATCTCACTCTGTCTGTGCATATAGGATTTTAAATAATTGGTTTGGCTCTCAAATTTTGTGTTGTGAGGAAAAACTAATGGAGTTTTTTGCTCCTTACTGACTGGTACAAATTAAGGATATTCTCATTGGATTTGGCTTTGTAGTCCCGTACTTGGATTCAGATTCTAGTTGCACAGCTGTAAAATCTTGGGCTGATTATTTAACTTTTAAGCTTGAGTTTTTGTTGTTGTTTTTTATCTGTGAAATAAGGATACCTTCACCAGCTGTTCTGAAGATATAATATATGTAAAGAAGATATCAAGTATGTAAAGCTTTGGGTATAGTGCCTAGTTAATCATGATGAATGACTGATAGCATTAAGAATAATAGCTAAAATGAAAATATGCTGCTGTTAAGTTGAATATTAATAAATCAAAGGGGAAAGCAAGTTTACTTTTTTTATTTCTTTTAGTTGGGGAGGTCCATCTGGTAAAAGGATATTTTAACAATAGGGAGAGGGGGAACTGAAAAGTGAGTGTTGATGAATAAGAATAATAACCGAGAATTAGTATTTACTGTGTGACAGGATCCTCAGAATAGCTCCAAGAAGTAAGCCCTCCATCCCCTGCGAATTCTTTAATTATTTGAGTGAGGGTGACCGCCCTCTGCTTTGTGGTCTTCTGTTCTAATTTGTACTTCATCATTGTTTTTTATATGTAACCCCTATCCTTTTTCCACTTCTCATCCCCAGTGAAAGGTTTTGTTGTTGTTGTTGTTGTTGTTTTTGTTTTTAATATATTTGGTTAGAAGTGGCCCACAGTAAGTTGTATTGTTGAGATGTTGAATCTTTGTATGTTTCTGGTCAAGAGTGAAATCCCACTTTCTTTATGTTATAGGTGAAAATCTAAGCATTAAAAAAAGAATGTTGGTCTAAGGTAAAACTACTAAGACCATAGTTGTGGGTAAATAAACTGCTCCTTCAGTCCAAGGGCTCCCCCCCCAACCCCACCCCTGACTGTTAAAATAAACAAATATCAGATTTTAAAGTAGCTGTTGCTCTGGAAATTACCTTAGAGTAAATACAATGAATTTCAAAGAGGTGTCCAGATTCTGTGTTTGTAAGTAATTTTACTGTAATGGGTATTACTCAAGATTGAAATTATTTAATACAAAGAAACATTCTTTATTCATACTGTGAGCAACTGTCTTCCAAAACACAGACCACAATACAGGCATTCTTGAACCTGAATAATACAAGGAATAATGTCAAATTATTTTTGTAGCTTTTTTTTTTTTTTTTTTTTTTTGGTCATAATAAAAATTTTCACGAAACTGTCCTCCTGATCACAGATTTTCAGAGTTGGAAGGAACTTAAGAGATCCAATCTAACTCCTTCCTGCCACCCAGAGAGAGAAAGTAATTTATCTAAAGTCATGTAGCTAGCTAATGACAGAACCAGGGAGAGAACAGAGCCCTTTATCCATTTTCCAGTATTACATTCCTCTGGAAAAAAACTGCCTACTCACTCTTGGTTTTTAATGCTAGTTAGAGTCTCTGGGTAAGGTTTTTCCCCATGACTCACTACTGCTCTTTTGTTTTCTTGTGTGGGTGTCTGGGAGCAAACTATCAAGGGTAGTGTGTTTTGTTGTTGTTGTTGTTGTTGAACAATTGAACAGTATAAGGCACTAAACAAGGAGAAAGCATTTATCTGGTTAGCACAAAGGGGTTCAGGAAGGAAGGGTTGAAGTTCATACTCTCTGCCCTCAACATTGATAGGCAGGTATTTTATTTTATTTTAAAGTTTTATTTATTTATTGGTCAGAGAGAGAGATCACAAGTAGGCAGAGAGGCGGGGGGGGGGGCGGGGAGTAGACTCCCTGCTGAGCAGGGAGCCCGATGTGGGGCTGGATCCCAGGACCCTGAGATCATGAACTGAGCCGAAGGCAAAGGCTTAACCCGCTGAGCCACCCGGATAGTGGTGCTGGATAGGCAGGTATTTTAAAGTTGAGCTTCCTAACCTGGGTTCGGATAGTGGTGCTGGATAGGCAGGTATTTTAAAGTTGAGCTTCCTAACCTGGGGTCGTAAATTTGAAATTTACACAAATAGATGCATACCTCCCAAGACAAGAATGTGTACCTTTCATCAGCTTATCAAAGGGTACCTAGCTAAAACCTTTTTTTTTTTTTTTTTAAATAAAGGGAGGGAAAGCTAATAAGCAAACCTGAGAACCAGTTTCTCACTCTTGCACTCCAAATGCTAATTATACTAGAGGGCTCCTATTATCTCCAGCTGCCTTCTGCTTGTGTGCCCTTTCCTGCAGATAAGCCTTCCCAGATGGCTTCCTGATCTTGTCATGGAAGCCGTTGGAGGCCACAGTCCTCGTCTTACAGGAACTTTTCCCGTAGGTTTCCCAAGACTACCATCTCTCTGCCTTTTCTGTTTATTTTTCTAGCAGAGGGGGTGAGGCTCTGGGATTTTTGTTCATTAGAAAGCTTAGGGGTGTTATTTCAATTACATTCTGGGTAAAAGGAATTTGTAAGATGACTTGAAAACTTAAGACTATTTGCTAGAAGAAAGAAAAATACGATCAGGATTCCAGTCAATACTTTGCAAATTCACGTTCAGAATGCTTCTAGTTCTTTAGTTAGGGGATCTCTGATCTAGAAACTCTTTAAACTTCCCAGAAACAGATTAAAGATCTGTGGATGGTAGGTAAGGAGTTACCCAGATCAGTCTGTAAAAATGTTTTAATTCAGTTTTTCCTTCCTGAATCTTATTAGATATAAAAGAAGCTACCCCTGAATAGGAATTCATTTTAATGGGCTTTCTACCTAGAAGAGGACACATGTAAAGCACATTCTATAAGTCTCGCATCTGGACACTCAAAGAGAAAGCTACCACAAAGATTGAAGTTGGAAGAATTTGTTTGTTCTTTTTTTAAATTTTATTTATTTTAAGCAGACTCTATGTCCAGTATGGAGCCCAACATGGGGCTTGAATTCAAAAGCCCGAGATCACAACCTGAGCTGATAATAAGAGTCAGACACTTAACCCACTGAGCTCAACAGGCACCCCTGTTTATTCATTTTAAAAAGCTCATACTGAGTACATATCTTGGACCCTCTAGTGTCATGTAGATGCCAGGAAATGAGAAGAGGTCTCTTCCCTTGGGAAGCTCATGATCTTCTGGGGACACAGCTCAACACATTTCAATTCAGTATCCTAAATGCCATAATAGAGGTACCAAAAAAAGCATTGCAGTCAGTAGTCTGCCTGGCCAGGAAGAACGATGGGAGTTAGGGACGACTTCCCAGAAAGGTGACACATATTTGAGTTGTATCTTAAAATGTTCAGTAAGAAACTTGTCAGGTGTGGCACCTGGGTGGCTCATTGAGTTAAACCTCTGCCTTCGGCTCGGGTCGTGATCTCGGGGTCCTGGGATCGAGCCCTGCATTGGGCTGTCTGCTCAACAGGGAGCCTGCTTCCCCCCGCCCCCGCCTGCCTCTCTGCCTACTTGTGATCTCTGTCAAATAAATAAATAAAATCTTAAAAGAAAAAAAAAGAAGAAGAAGAAGAAGAAAGAAAGAAACTTGTCAGGCAAGAAGCAATCTAGGGGGCGCCTGGGTGGCTCAGTGGGTTAAAGCCTTTGCCTTCAGCTCAGGTCATGCTCCTAGGGTCCTGGCATCGAGCCCCGCATCAGGCTCTCTGCTCAGTGGGGAGCCTGCTTCCCTTTCTCTCTGCCTGCCTCTCTGCCTACTTGTGATCTCTGTCTGTCAAATAAATAAATAAAATCTTTAAAAAAAAAAGAAGAAGCAATCTAGGAATAAGTGGTATGTTTGTGCCTTCCTACTTCACATTTAACGCTCACCAGTCTCTTACTGTGTGTTTTCCGTTAGAGCTCTAAACGAGAATGGAAGCCGCTGGAGGACCGCAGCTGTACAGACATCCCATGGCTGCTGCTCTTTATCCTCTTCTGCATTGGGATGGTAAGGACCCTCTCACAGATCCTTAGACCCTGGCGGCCTCATGATCCAGGGGAATGATGCGGAACTGGTCTAAAGAGGGAGCTTGTTATTTGATTTATGTTTAACTCCTTCTGAATTGCTTATGACTGGAGGTCCTCGGAGACCATTGAAGCCGGTTATTTTTGTCCCATATACAATTTGTTGGTATTTGGTACCCCTTGATACATGAGATAAAATTAAGAGGATTGGAACTGTCCCCTGGACTAGATCATTTAAGAAAGCCAGATCATGAGACATAAATTTCTGTGAATTGTGGTCTTGATGGAGTGTTGAGCAGAGCCCTGGCCCCTGAGTCCTGAGTATGTATCCAACCCAGTCACACAAGCCTGACTGTTTTTGCACCAGTGTGCCCCTGGGGTATTTGGTGTTCTTTTATATACAATTAGAGTTTGTGCCAGAGGATGTCTACAGTGTTTCCAAATCTGACATCTTTTAGCTCTTCCTAGAGAGGAGGCTGGCTGCTCTCTGCTTCTGCCCATACTCGGCCCCCGCTGCCTGCTGTAAAGGGTGGCATCTCTCCATTGGAGATCAGGGACTTGGTGATTTTCCACTGGGTGTCGAGGGTGGAGGAGCAGAGCCCCTGGTGCAGAGTGTCGGGGGGGGGGGGCTTTTTCAAATGGCACCCGCACCCTGCCCGGCAGGATTTCTGACACAGGCTTCAGGGACTGGAGATTCACTGCAGGTGTGCTGGGCTGGGAAAAAACAGGGTGAAAACAGGGTTTTAAAGCCAGCTCGAGTTAGAACAGGCTTGGAAATCCCCATCTGGTTTATTCCCCTCATTCCTCAGATGGAAAGCATCAAACCCGGAGATGGAAATGACCATGCCAAGGCCACATTGTTAGTTCATGGGAGAGCTGGTACCAGAGCCCTGCCCTCTTCATTTCCAGGACAATGCTGTCTTCTGCCAGCCCCTTTCCCCTTTCTCAGAGGGACTCTGCAGCCGGGTATTATGCTCTCTTTCTTAGTCTTTACAACTAAAGCATAAATACCTCTGGCAGCCTTTTTTCACAAATGTATGAGTGTTTTTAAGCCTCATTTCCCCATATCTTTTGTAGAGCTTCTTTAAGGATAATCTGATTCTGTGTCCTCTGCAACTGCTCGCTGCAAATGCCATTTGCAAACCACAGAACCACCCTAATCCTGACAAAAAGGCATAATTGCAGGGACCTGTTACGCACCTGAAGAAAGGAAAAGAAAGAAGCCGACTTTAAAGAGATATAATAAAGCAAGTAAAATGAGGAAAGTTCGTTTTAAATAGACGGCTCAGTTTCATGAAACCTAAGATATTTAGAAGACATCAGAATACCCATTTCCTCACTTAGTTAGGACTTGGAAAATGTTTTTCAGGAGTTTACTTAGTTTAATCGAGTAGTTCCTAAAATGCAGTGTGCGTGTCAAGTGTGGGAAAGATTTTTTTTTTTTTTTGCTAACAGAATTAGCACAGACTCTCCCTACTCCCTGAATTATTCCCGAGATGGATGGCAGCTGACCTTTCAAAATTATGTTTATAAAAACATGTACCTGCCACTCCATGTGCTTTTGATTTTCTATGCTAAAAGAGCTCGGGAAAGTGCAGTCATTAATGTTGATAGGCTGATTTGGGAGTGACTTAGAGTAGGGAGCTATCTGTTCACTGACACATTTTAATGCAATGGTAATTAATAGAACCTTGATTTCAGTGCCATGGTAATTAAGACCCACTGTGTGTACTTTTAAATGCAGGCATAGTGTTACTTGTTTTGGAATGATTTTTTTTTTTTTTTTTTAATGGATTAGTCTCATACAGTTGAGCTTACCTCACATTTTGCCATGTGGGAACTGCAGAAATTTCCAGGTTCTGTTGCCATACGGACACAGCAGCAGACCAAAGTTTTTTGTCTTCTGTGTATTTGTTTTGTATGGTTTTTAGAAGTTCTTTTTTTCTTTAGGATTTCATTCTTTTCAGAGAAATATTCATCAAACGTTTGTTGAGATTATCCTACACTTGATGCTTTTGTATGTATTCATCTCATTAAATTCTCCCATTTACCTTATGAAATAGGTTTTCTCCCCAGCTTACAAGCAAGGTGTAGCAAGGTTAAATATTAGCTTGTCCAAGAATAGAATACTGGTAATATGTGGCAAAGGTAGAATAGGAACTAGAATACTAGTTCTAGTACTAGAACTAGAATACTCTTTTAACCTCATGGTGTCTGCTTCTTCTGTCATCTTAGGGCTGAATATTCAAGCCAAATCTTTATTCATTGTCCTTACTTGCAGTTCTTTGCTCATTCCTTGATACCTATCCTTTGAAATATTTATTTATGTAATGCTTTGAAATATTTTAAGACCTTGTCTCATTTCATTCATCTTCACCATTAATCTTTTTACTTACACGCATTCACCTCTTCATAAATATTTGTACCTTTATTTCCTCCCTTACATCCAGGGTTTTTCCAGGCCCGCCTTCCATGCTCATCTTCCACATTTGAACTTTTATCAATATTTTGAAATCACTGGACATACATTTACTCTGTTCTTTAAAAAAGTTGCATGTAGCATTGTACTTCTAAATTTCTGTTTTCCAGTAAGGTAGCAGTCAAGTGGTTCTCATTTTGGACAAGTTGATTATCAGAAGCAGCTAGAATTTGGAATACTCTTTCCTCGGTCCCTCCTCTGATTCTGACTTAATCTCTGTGTTTGCAGTGTTCAGCCAGGGTTGGGATTCCTGTTTTAAGTGCCAGTAAACCACTGAAGAGTTTTCTCTTCTTTCCTTCTTTCTTTCTTTCTTTCTTTCTTTCTTTCTTTCTTTCTTTCTCTCTTTCTTTTTTAGAAGAGGGTGAACAGGGGACGGGTAGATGGAGAGGGAGAGAGAAATTCAAGCAGCCTCTACACCCAGCATGGACCTGACACAGGGCTCAGTCTCACAACCCAAATGACATGAGTGGAGATCAGAGTCAGACACTTAACTGACTTGGCCACCCAGGTCCCCCAATCACTGAAGGGTTATCAGCAAGAAATGATGTGACCGGGTTTAGAAGGATGGCCCTGGTAACGGATGTTATAGATGGTTTATAATGCATTATAAAGAGGGTCCGCTTTGGAGGCTGATGGAATAGTCCAGGGAACATGTGGAAAACCTGAAATAGCGTCGTGATAAAGAAGAGGAGAGAGTGTCATCGATGTTGCAGACAAGGGGGAAGCAGAGTAAGGATGACTAAGAGGTTCTTGTATGAGGGTTCAGAGTAGGGCTTTTCAGATCAAATCTGACCGCAGCTTGTAAGTTCCAAACCACAATTTCTGTGTACGTGAAGGAACAAGAATGAGATGGATAAACAAAGCACTGTGTTAGGAGCCAGAAAGTCACCTGATTATACTCAATGAAGAGCTCCTTGGTAAAAACAACTTGTAGAATGAAACGTGGGCCACATGGCCTGAAGATCCTTCCCATGTTGGACAGTGTGACTCCATTCTGTTTCTAGGGAAAGAGATATGAGTGAGAAGAGAGAAGAGATCCATCTGGACCCTCTCTGCCCAGATAAGGCAGGAAAGACGGGGCTCCTTGGCCCTGATAGGAGTGCTCACCATGGACAGTGGTGACGCCCTACCATGTACTCCTGATACTGGGCGCTGCTTACTGTGGACTCGGGACTATTCTGCATGTGATGCAGAAACATTTACATTTCACAGCTATACGATGAAGTCGCTGCTGTTGTTAACATCATTCTCATTTTACAGATAAGAAAACAGAGGCACATGGTTTTGTTAAGTAACTTGTCTAGGTTACACAGTGGCAGGATTGGACCTGGAAGAGAAGAGCTCTAGAAGGCGAGGCCTCAAGAATAGTCCTTCCTTTTTGCCTGGAGTTGGAACTATAGAAAAGTTGTTGTTTGGAACATGGACACAGTAACCTCACCTGCCAGGAGAAAGTGGTCTCGTCAGGATTTCAGATTCTAAGCAAACAGTTTAGCATTCTTACTTCCTCTGGTGCAGTTAGGAGGCGAGAGTGATGGCCAGAGGCGTGGATAAGGGAGACCGAAGAGTCCGCTCTACTCCATACTCTTACATGTGCGGTCTGGTAAGGAAATGATACTACAAAGGCAGACAGGGTAGATGAAGGAAAGTGGCCTGGGGAAATGTGGAATGAGAAGATGAGTTTGGGAGAGGTAGGGTGTGGGTAAAGATAAGCAGTGGGAAAGGCAGAGTTGGGAGTTTTGGAGAAGGCTCTGGACTAGAGCTGGGAGTAGGAGACAACATTGCATACGTTGTCCCTTCAGACCACTTTCAAGGACCTTTTTTATTTTATAACACTAGTCTATTTCCCAGCGCATAGTGTTTCTACCTCATTAACTATTGTTGAGCATGCAGCACAAAGTGAAAGACTCAAAGACTGATTGCCGTGTTTAGTCATCTGTGCGATGGTCTGAGCTCTGGCAGGATCAGAGAGTAGGAATAGCACGCCAAAAATTACCCTGAGGTTACCTGATCCAAATACCTGTCTCCTTTCTGTCAAATCTTTGTTTCATTCCTTTTTTTTTGGGGGGGGGGATTATGGTAAAATACACATAATGTAAAATTTGCCATTTAAACTGTTTTTAAAGTTTGAATCGATTTGCTTTTAATCCACTCTTGTTTTTTGTATCCTTGGTCACTGTGCTGGACCCAATGTGTTTATCCTACTTCCTGCAAGTATAGTCTGAAACATTTTACTCTCTACCTACTTTTCCTTAGGGTCATAAAATTCGGGATGAGGAGAGGGCTTTATAGATTAATCTAGTTCAAGCCTCGTGACAGGTAGGGAAACCGAGTCTCGGTATTTAAAGTGACTTCCCCACAATCATAAGGATCGTTTGAGGCCAAGCTGGGTTCGGTGTCTAGCATTCCTTGCCCATGTGTTTTATTTCTTTTATTCATTGTTCTGGCTGCCCGTGAAACTGAACCTCTCTGATCTTGCTTCCTCACACCTCATTATTTTCTGATCTTTTGCGAACATGTCAGGTCTTTCAGGGTAAACTTGATGTCTTATAACTCTTTCGTCCCCTGCATGACATCTTCTGTTTGATTGTGCTTGATAAATGCTTATTGACAGGACTCTTCTAGGCTTCCAGTCATATTTGCTTATAGCTTCTTTCTTCTTTCTTAGAGTAATGCATCCTATTAAACTTTAGAGAGATCTGGAAGATTGGGAGAATGTTTAAATTTTTTGTTTGTTTGTATAAATACTAGCTCTGCATCAGACATTCTTATCCTGTCTGCTGGGTCCTAATAGCCTTTTAGATCTCAGGGTTCTACAGAGGAGAAACAGAAGCCAAATGTTACTTTGAGGTTTGACAAATTAGTTATTAAGAGATTGACTCCCAAGCTTTGGTTGAGTTTAGGGATAGAGGTAGAGGATTAGGGATAGAGCTAAGGAGGTAGTATTTGAGGAAAAAGGGTCTGGGCATATTTTCTTGAATCCCTAGGAGAGAGCTGTAGGAGTAAGTTCTTTTTTGCCTGTGTTTTTATTTTGAAACATTTTGCCATATTCATATTTCATCCCCACCTGCCACACAGGTTTTGGCTGACCCATTTTTTTTTCTGCCCGCCCCCCAAACCAAAACTAAGGCCTTCTGCCTTGCTCAGTTGCATGTTAAGCCTCCAGGTTTGAAATTCAAACATGCTTGTGAAATAAAGCATGTCCCTCCTTTTGACTAAAATGTATGAATCTAAGCAAATCCTCCTTCTTACATTGAAATAATGAGCACAGTTCATTAATTAGCAAACTGTCTTTCTCCCGCGTAGGCAATAGGGAACTTAATGAGTTTGCAAGATCTGGCTTGGGATCCATACCACCGGATGCCCTGATCTGACTTGAGTCACCTCCTGTTCGTGATTCCATTTGTCTGCTCCTCCTCTCTCTCGAAAGAGCAGTTCTGCAAGCACTTCAGTAACTCAGTCCTTTTAAGATTTTTAGCCACGGTTCTCTTCCTTACTAATAGGCTTACTTTCTCTGCCGTGATTGCTCTCTGCTATAGGCATATAAAAGCTTTCCTCAGGACGCCTAGATGGCTCAGTTGGTTAAGCAGCTGCCTTCAGCTCAGGTCATGATCCCAGCGTCCTGGGATCGAGTCCCACATCGGGCTCCTTGCTCATCAGGGAGCCTGCTTCTCCCTCTGCCTCTGCCTGCCATTCTGTCTGCCTGTGCTTGCTCTCTCTCCCTCTCTCTCTCTGACTAATAAATAAATAAAATCTTTAAAAAAAAAAAAAAAGCTTTCCTCATCCCCCTTATCATTTGCTTCATTAATATGATTTCCTTCTCTTGAATGCCTCTTCCTCTCCCTGCTTAGAGCCATTAAATTATTGAGTGCATTCTGTAAAGTTTCTCTCATCCTATTTTAATTTCATGTACCACATTTTTTTCTCATATGAAACTATATTGCTTCCCGCATTTGGACTTAGAATTTTTTTTTTTAAAGGCGATTGTATTTTTAATTATATTTGGCCTAGTTCCCCATTGTCAGTACTTCTACCATATGGGAAGTCCCTGGGATAACAGTCATGGTTTCTTCCTATCTTATTAGCTTACTTTTTTCTCCTTGCTTTCTCCCCTGCAGCTTCTCAACCTCTCTTCTCTAATGGCTTTGGAAGCTACTAAGCAACTAAGAAATTTAAGTGGCCTGTGTGAAAATACGTCAGTGTCCCATTTTACCATATATATGTAACGTTTATAATTTATCCTCTGTCTACATCCCAGAGGGATGTGAGGTGGCTTATGATTAAAAAAAAAAGAAGAAGAAGAAAACTCACATGTCCAACAGTACTGTTAAAAATAGTCAGAAAGGGAAATCAGATACCATTTAAAGGAATCTGTAACACAAAGTACTTATCAAACATAAGAAAATTTCTATAAAAAGGAAAGAAGAACATAACCTTTTAATTATGCAAGGGCTTTGCTATTTCAGGCTAGTGAAAAAAGATTGTAATTGTGGTCTGAATGCTTCTATGTAGTGACACAATTACTGACAATATCGCTCATTTTCCCCCTAGAAATTTTTGTGCTAAAGGTGAGAACTGAAGGAGTTTTTGGTTAGTCCCCAGTTATTGGTGTCAACTTCTGTAGACTGGCTTTATCCTTCAAATTTCCCACTAACAGCTACCATGTCTTATGACCAGCCATGTACCAGACCAGCTAGGGCTTAGAGATGCATTATCTCCTTTAGTCTTCATCATGACATTCATATCTTCTATGAAATAGATGATAGTGCTTTGTGAGGGATGAGGAAGAAACACTCCAAGTATGTAATTGGATCAAAGTCACGTAGGTAGTAAGTGGTAGATCCAGGGTTTAAATCCAGCTCTCTCTGTGTTCCCTTTCTGTTATTCTCTGATTCTTCTTGTTAAAGAACTGTGTTGGAAAGGTTAGCTATTAAACCTCCTAATGTTTACCTCCACTTCCAGGTTTTGTTCGGTGTGGGATTTCCTAATTGGAAGTTCAACGATACGTTTAAAATGGCATGCTGATTTGCACATGTGTATGTGTGCAGGGGCTTAAATGTTTTTTATCTCATGTTTTACTGTTGGCCTGAGGTCCTGACGTGGAACTATCTTGCATTTTCCATGGAGGAATCCAGAGAGAGGGAGGGGGCAAAAGGCGAGGGTGAATGAGTGGGTCCAGACCAGCCTCTGCCTAACCCTAGTACAAGCAGTTAGCTGCTCCTTGGAGGCAGAAGGGTACTAACATTTTTATTGAAACAGACACTTACATGCATTATTTCATGTGATTCTCATAGCAGCCTTTGTGGTAAGTGGTTTTATCCTCAATTTATAGACGGGAATACTGAAGCACAAAGCATTAAGCAGGTTTGGCCAATGTCACACAGGTAGAATATAGAGTCATCAGTATTCCTTTGATCAGTGAAGGTGTATCTGACCCCGAACCCGTGATCTTTTCCTTTACACATTCTCATTTCTAACAACAATAATAGCTAATATTTATTGAGCTCTAACTGTGTGCTGAGCAGGATTCTTACCACTTTACTGGATTATTTCATTTAATCCATACAGCGCTCTTATGAGCTATACACTCACTATCCCACTTTACAGGTGAGTAAATTGAGGGACGGAGACTTAACGTAACTTGGCAGGGATCAGAAGGCATGACAGCAGCAATTTGGTCTGCTCTGGAGTAGACTTTTTTATAAGCCATAGTTTCAAGCAGTTTCTATTAGCTAGAGCCACACTCTCCCTCCCGCCCCTTTCCTCACCTGCAAGATAAAACTAGAGGGGTTATTTAGAAAAAAAGAGTTTGTTTGCCTTTTTAGGAAAGTATGTTTAAGAGGGAAACACTTTTCTTGGAGGAAGTGCATGTGGGTACTGTACTGAGCACCATGGGCCCGAGATCTAGCTGAGCTGCTTACATGTGTCCTACTCATGAGACTTGGCTAGAATACATTAAACAGTGATAATCCCTGCCTTCATTGGCCACTTCATGAGGGATAATAAGAACTCACCCTTTTAATGACTACATCGCAAGATTTTTCTAACCCCAGTCTTTTCGCCCAGTTCAGTTTATCAGTAGTGATTCACCTTATTTCCTGTTGTTATGCCTGCTCCCTGCAATGAGCGTAGGCTGGATTGCTCTGTCTTGGTCAGCGCGTACTTGACTCAGCAGGTATGATACATTCCCGAAGCATCTACCATTTATTTGCCTTTGGCACTGTGATGAAGCCTATTCCCATGAAGCGGAGTGACCTTTGTGGCATATAGACCCAGTGCCTCCCGCTCCTTGAGTCTGCAGTATTAAAAACATGGTGGTGTTTCATGGCATAATTCTTTGGCTTGTATACAGCTTTACTGCAGGAAGGAAACAGGAGTGTTGCGTGCACCAGAGTGATAATAATTTTAAAACCCACACACCTATTCTTCTTTGAATTTTTTTCTTTCATCTGTTACTGTTGTCCATTTAACAGAGCTCCTTTACAACCAAATAAAAGAATAAAACAAGCAGGGTTTGATTTAATGCTTTGATCTTTACTAGCTTCTTTGGCGTTGGGCAACTTATTGAACCTCTCTGGGTCTCAGTTTCCCCATCCTGAGGATTAGTGATAATGTCTGGTAAGCACTTAGTAGGAGCCTGGCACAGCACAGATGTTCCATACAGAGAAGCCGCTGTTACTATTATAAAATGCGTAGACGATCTTATGATGTCAGAGCTTAAGATTTGTTTTGTTACAGTAGTAAATAGTGTTTCCCTGTGGACTTCTCTGTGCTGCTTCTGTGAAATCCCAGGAAAACAGTAGAATAGTGTTTGCAATAAGGAAAGATAGCTCTTTGTTCCCTTCAGCGGACAAAAGAAGCTCATTATCGTATCAAGTAGTGACTGTTGTTATTGAACTGGTTTATTTATATGTTTTTTCTGTTTTTTTTTTTTTCTAGGGATTTATTTGTGGCTTTTCGATAGCAACAGGTGCAGCAGCGAGACTAGTGTCAGGATACGACAGCTATGGAAATATCTGTGGGCAGAAAAATGCCAAGTTGGAAGCAATACCAAACAGTGGCATGGACCACACCCATCGGAAGTGAGTAGACTGTTGGCTGAATGAAGGGGGGTAGAAAATCCTGCTTCTCTTACTGTTATAAAAATAATATCTTACTGAATATTATTTTTATATGTCTCCTGTTGGTGTTTTTATTTTTATTTTTTTAACTGCCCACTCAAATTAGTCCTGTTTTTGGTCTGTAAATACATTTCCAGGAAATAAAATTAGCTGCCAAGTTAATATTAACTATCTTAAGGTTTTAATAAGTAAAGGCTTGATTTGAGAGGTTTCTACCTATACTCTCTTTTCCCATTAGCCTTTAGATTGTACATGAAGTTTTAACTCAGGAAATAACGTAATTATTTTTTTCTTCCTAAGATTGTACTTGATGGGGGACGGAGGGATGATAATGGATTTTGAAACATTAAATGAAATGGATTAACGAAACATTTTGTGATGCATCATTTATAAGTACAGTACACATCAATTTCCAATTTTATGAAAGATAACATTTTCTTTGTCAGACTTTAAAATTTGTTTTGTGTTCTCAAGCTTCATCTTTTGCATTTTATGAAATTCCTGTCTTAATTGCCTTTTTTCTTCATGAGAGCTATTACTTCATTTTTAATGTCTGTGAGGAAAATGTCATCAAACATATCTTAGGTATGATGTCAATATATTTGTCCACACTGTATATTAATGTTCCATCACACTTGATTAGACAAGTGTAATAAATGAAAACAGGTCTTCAGAATTAACCAAAGTAATGGGTTACTCAATTCAATTAATAACATTTAAGAAGCATTTTCCAGGATATAGTAGCTTGCTTTATTTCTTTATTTTTTTTATTTATGATTTTATTTACTTATTTGACAGGAGAGTGAGCACAAGTAGGGGGAGTATCAGGGAGAGGGAGAAGCAGGCTCCCCTCCCCATTCATCAGGGAGCCCAATGTGGGGCTCCATCCCAGAAGCCTCGGATCATGACCTGAAAGGCAGACACTTAATGACTGAGCCACCCTGCTGCCCCATAGTAGCTATATTTATTATTAGATAAATCTGTTTGTTAAATCAGGGCCCTTCCTGAAAAGTATAAGATTGATTTGATAATTTCACAAACTTGAAGAAATCCAGATAGTTAATCATATCTCAGAGATATTCCCCCATTGAAAGAAGGAATAATGCATTTTAAATAAATAAAATTTCAAATAATAACAGTGAATATTTGTGTAGCATGTGATAGTTGGCAAGCGTATGATACCATGCTGTGAGGTAGGTGTAGCAGAGATTTAGAGAGATTGAAGTGATTTTTCTCAAAAGTCTGGTTGGTCAGTGGAATATCAAACACAGACTATGAGCTTTATTCTGGATAAGCACCTGCATCCCTTGACAGAAGTGAAAATTGGACTCATGGAGAGTAATTTGGAGGATTTTCATTTATCGCTTTTTTTATTGCTTTATAGAATTAACACAATGTTTAGGCCTTGTGTTATTTCTGATAACCCATTATTTCTGATAGCCCATCCATATATTTTTAAACTTTTTCTTTGGAAATAATTTTAGACTCCTAGAAGTTGCAAAATAGTACAGATTCCACATCTTTTGTTGTTGTTGTGGGTAGTGTCTATGCTGTGCAATACATTTTGACTCTTCAGTGCTGGTGACATGTACCAGACATGAAATATTACCAATTAGGTAATTGTGGAGACAGGAGGAAAAGAGCTCTCTTCCCTCAGATCTATTGCTCACATGAGGTCATACTCATGTTTATGGCTCCCTTTATAACTTGCTGATGGTTCCAAGCGTATTGTCACCATAGGTTTGTATAAATGTCACTCTTCACACTTAACCTTATGGAAGTTCACTTGATCAATTTTTAATTTCAAATCCTTGTATTTTCTATATACTGATATAGATATTCTCTATATACTATATGTTCTATAGACTATACACACACACACACACACACACACACACACACACACACCCCGTGTATATTTTTATGTATATTGGTCTTTTGTAAAGAGAGCCTGCTTATTATTCCAAAAAAAGTGGTTACTTTTCCCTGAGTGCTTAAGCATAGTTGGGAGCCATTCATGGATTGCTATAGAAGAAATAGTTTCCCAAGTGTAGCTATACCTTAAGTATAAATGTTTGTTTGTTTGTTTGTTTGTTTGTTTGTTTGTTTATGGAGAGGGAGAAGGTGAGAGAGACTCTCACCCGGGCTCAGTCTCACAACCCTGAGATCACGAGCTGAGCCAAAATCCAGACACTCAACCAAATGTACCTCCCAGGGCCCCCTGTTTATTTATTTTTGATCTCTACTTCTCCTCTGCATGTAAACATTTTAGTGCTGACCCATCTAACTATTCTAACTATAAATGGAATATATATATTTTTAATGACTCATACATTTTGAACATACCTTTCTCAGGTAAGTCTATCCTGTTTGGGTCTTAAAGAAGGCACAGTGCCTTTGCGTTTGTTACTTTTACTCCATCCTCTTCTTTTTCCTGCCAATTGCATTTGTTTCCTCCTTTTTCATTCACTTCCTGATATATCTTTGTCTTCATTACTACCATAGCTACCATACCTACCATAGCTGTAGAATTTTTTTATATCTGTTTTGTCTGTTGCTGCCTCAACTTGATCTTGATCACTATTTTCTCCCATTTCTTATCCTCAGTAAGTGTCAGTACCTGGTACTTACTAGGACCTACCTCCATACATATTTGTTGAATAAGTTTATAAATAAATCCTCTAAAATCTTGAATACAACTAACTCTTTCTTGCTTTAATGAGTATTGTTTTCTCTGTCAGAAAGAAACGTTTCTCCCATTCTTCATGTGGCTAAATCCTACTCATCCTTCAGTCCTCACTATAAATGTTATTTCCTAGAAAGGTCTTTTTTGATCTCACAATTTAAATCAGGTATTTAAAAATACTTTCTCACGGGGTGCCTGGCTAGCTTAGTCAGTAGAACTTGTGCCTCTTGATCTTGGCGTTGTGAGTTCGAACTCCATGTTGGGTGTTGAGTGTACTTAAATAAATAAATAAATGAAATTATTTATTAAATAAATGAAATTAAATAAATGAAAAAAATAAAAATATTCTCATTGTGTCCTATAATATGTGTAATTACGTATATATTTTGTGATTATTTATTAAATGTGTCTTCTAAGTTCTGTGAAAGCAGAGGTGAGGTCTGTTTTCAGTACTGTATCCTCAGTACCTGGAATGTAGTAGATACTCTCAAATGTTTGTTGAATGGGTAAAAAATTTATTTTCTTAAAATATTTTCTAGGAAGTGAATTACCAAGTTTGAGGATAAGATTAAGACTACTAATAAATATTTAAGATTATTAATAAAAATTATTGATGAATATGGCTTTCCATAAAGTCTGTTCCATTTACATTCCCGCCAATGTCTGAGATTGCTTTATCTTTGCTAGTATTACTAGTTTTATTTTTTTACTCATTAACCAAGAAATGGCATTTTATAGTTTTAATTTGCTCATCTTGGGTTATTTGGGAGTGTGAGCCTCTTTACCGCACGTTTGTTGACCTCAGGACAACTGTTGTGGTAGTATATCTATTCTTGGCCTTCTAATCTCTAATCTTCTCCATCCTTTATGCTGTGATAGGATTAAGTTCTTTCAAACACTTTTTACGTTCATTTCCCTGCTCAAGAGCCTTTACTTTAGTGTTGTTGATGCGTACAGTATTAAAGGTGAGCCCACTCAACCTTCCAGGCTTCCAGTGATCTAGACCCGTTGTATCTGTTCAGTCCTTTCCCACTGTTTCTCAGTGTAATAGTAGTGTTCAAGATACTCATTCTTCCTGTGTACTATCCCCTCTCCCTCTCTGCCAATCTGAATTCTTGAAAGACTTAAGGTGTCCTGACCTCTTCATGAAATATTTCAAAACAAACTTTATCCCATAGTGACCTTTTATTACCCAAACTTTCCTATCTCAAATTTGTTTTTCTGTTGCCTCAAAGTCCTTTTCCAATTATAATGTGTGTTTCTTCTGCCTGTAGTAATGATCATTTGCTAGGTAACAATGTTACTATAAACTTAGTGGCTTAAGACAAGATACATTTGCTATCTCATAGTTTCTTTGGGTCAGGAATAGGGTATAGCTTAGCTGCGTCTCCTGCTTCAGAGTGTCTTGCAAGACTGAGATCAACGTGTTGGTCAGGGCTGGGGCTCTGCTGGGAGTTCCCCTTCCAAACTCATATAGTTAGCAGCACTTTCAAGATAGTTGGACAGAGGGCCTTAGCACTTTGTGGCCATAAGCCTGAGGCCACCCTCAGTGCATGCTATGTGGGCTACTCCATATGGTGGCTTACTTCAAAGCCAGCAAGGGATAGTATCAGTAGAGTCTGCTAGCAAGATGGAAGTTAAATTTTTTGTAATATAATTATAGAAGTGATGTCCTGTCACCTTTGCCATATTCTACTTGTTAGAAGCAAGTCACAAGTCCCATCCAAAGTCAAGGGGAGGGAATTACACCAAAGTGTGAATTCCAAGAGGTGGGAATAATTGGGGCATCTTAAAGTCTTCTGCCACCCTGCCCAACTGTGTCTCGCTGGAGTGTCATGTTTTGTATAGCTCCCAGATTTGAACACCTGAGAGTTATTTCATAGTTATTGAGTTATTTCATAGCTTATTGAATTGCAGTAATAGAGGAAGCAACAAAGCTAGAAGAAGACTAGGAAGGGGAAATGCCTTTGTCCTCTTCTAATTAGAAAATTTCAGGGACGCCTGGTTGGCTCAGTCAGTTAAGCATCTGCCTTTGGGTCAGGTCATGATCCTGGGGTCCTTGGATCAAGCCCCACTTTGGGCTCCCTGCTTAGCAGGGAGCCTGCTTCTTCATCTCCCTCTGCCCCTCCCCCTGCTCATGTGTTCTCTCTCTCTCTCTCTCTCTCTCTCTCAAATAAATAAATAAAATCTTCAAAAAATGTTGAAAATGCCAGGGTGCCTGCCCAGGTGGCTCAGTTGTTAAGCGTCTGCCTTCGGCTTAGGTCATGATCCCAGA